ACGTTTCAATTTCCACTTCGGAAATCGTTCTCCGAAAGAAATTCGAGAACGATTTCCGAAGTGGAAATTGAAACGTCAAGAAACGTATTTTTATCTTTAATTGTGGCTTATTCCCAGTTAAATAGTAATTAATTTAAAATGCCACAATAAAATAGCTTCAGAACAATATTAAGTATGTTTGGTTTTTAAAAAGTACTTTTAAACGAATTTTTTTGTCTATTTTGTTTTGTTAATCTTTAATACCGACAAATTTATTCCAAATAGAAAAGCTAAACGACTAATTGAAAGGAAAAAGTTGTGTTAAAAATCGATTTGTGCAATAAACGACTGATTATAGCACATTATATCCTGTATTGCAAATTTGACATAGAGAAATGCATTAATTGTGTAAGACCAACTATTGTGTAAGACTGGTAAATTATTTAAATTATTTGAATAAATATTAATAGGCCTTTTACTCAGTCGAATGTATTAGCATACTACCTTAATGACAAAGTTTTTAAGTGACATAATGCCTTGTTGGGAATTGGCAATTATTACTAAGACATATTCAAGAACACGGTTATATTAATTTTATCAATCTATCTGTGACAAGCAGGTGGTTATTATCAAGCTATATATTTTAAATATAGTCTTAATGGAAGGCAAAAACTTGTTATATCTACTATTATCGTTATTCCACCATTTATAATGATTATCGAAGAAAAGTATTACAAATTAGCGTTAATAGTTACCAATTCTGTAACATAAGTAATATATGGATTGGTTTAACTATAATTTATATGTATAAAGAACAAATGATAAACTATTTTTGTGGGATAAAAGAGGTAAGTTCGATAAAAGAAAACATACTACAAATTGTTTGGTAGTTCGAGATATTAGACATTAAAATCCGGAAAAATGCCTAGTCTAAAACATTTTTATATAATTCACTAGCAAACTAAGTTTCTGTAGCTGACTGTATACCATGTATCACAAAATTTTTTTTATTTAAAATCCTTTATAAAAGGTATATAATAAAATACCCAAACGGGCTATATCACAATTACAGAACGTTATCGGAATGTAAATTCCATCATCAGTGTAACCTGAAAGTATATAACCACTTTAATTAAAAAGAACGTAAAATTTGAACTGCTGACTAAGGTTAATGCAAAATGTGGTTAATACTTACGAAGTATACATGCTATGAGCCACCAAATATATGGGTAAAAACCCGATAAATGTTGTTAATTTAAATTTTTGTTACATTATATATTATTAAAAATTAAGATCTTCAAGTTACTGTTGGAATTGGTAACATGGCGACGTACGACTCTACATAAGGTTACTTGGTCCTGAGGCAAAGTGTCTTCGAAAACCTGTTGATAACAACTGATAAAAATGACAATATTGACATTTTGGTCCGTATAGTTGCGACCATAATGGGTGATTAGCAAAGGCTTTTCGCTCTTGACTCAGCGTTCATTATCTAATTAAATAGGAGAATTGAGAGCTGAGGTCAACTTCCGTGTTGTTTTCTTGTGTGACTTTTGTTCCTGATTCATTTTTTCAGGTAAAACTGAATGCTATTATTTTTATGCGTATTTAACAAAGTTTCTAATCGTGATTTAACTTGGTTTAATATAGTTTTAATATAATATAAATATTGACAATAAGTATATACGCAGGGGTAGCCTATTTTATCGTAAAGCTAAACCAAAGGTATAAAATAAAGATTATTTAGGTATATGCACCAACAATGGACCATCTGGATGAGGAGATTAGGATTAAGACTTCTACGATGACATCTCTGGGACATTGAAAGAAACACCAACACACTACACGATTATATGTGGCGACTTTAACGTAAAGATCGGTCTAAAGCAGGCTCAACAGGAAACAGCACTAGGTAAATTTGGATCCAAAGGCAGAAACGAACGTGGACAAACACTACTAGAATTTTTATTACAACAAAATCTATACCAGATGAATAGTTTCTTCTCTAAAAAATATCACAGAAGATAAACGTGGAAAAGCCCAGATGGTAAGACCAAACACGAGATAGACTACATAATTACTGACAAAAAATATATATTCAACGATGTCACAGTCCTTTACCATAGGCAGCGATCATAGAATAGTAAGAGCCAAACTAAAATTAGACTTAATAATCGAAAGATCCAAATTAATTAGGAAGAGAGCCAACCCAATATTGAACGACCCAACGAATTTACATGAATACCAAGGCAATCTCAATAAAATCCTACAACAAAATAAATGCATGGTTAAAGTAAAATGGTGCCCTAAAAGACGCCAAGACGAAAAAATAACCATTGAAACAAAGCAACTAATGGAAACTAGAAGAAAAATCAAAGGAAAACAAAGCACTGACGAAAAAGAACTGCGAAAAATAAACAAAAAAGTATCAAAAGCTATAAGGAAAGATTTAAGGAAATTTAAGACTGAAAAAGTTCAGCGAACTATAGAAGAGAATAAAAGTCTGAAAATCGTGAGAAGACGACTAAACAATGGACAATGCGAAATACACAAACTAAAGAACAAAGAAGGAGTCAAATAGAGAAGAACTGCTACACATAGTTAAAGACTTCTATTAAGAACTATTCACAAGCCAAAGAGAAAACCAAAAGAACTTGAAAGCCGCAGCATTACGCAAAATTATCAACCAGGATTCAGAGCTCATGCCAGAGATGAGACACTAAGCAAAATCTAGGACGCAATGAAAACGATGAAAAACAACAAAGCGCCAGGAAAAGATGGAGTCGTAATAGAAGCTATAAAGATGAGCGGAAGTGCCCTTCTCAACCAAATAAAAATGTTGTTTAACCTTTGTCTAACAGATTGTTGCATACCAAAAACATGGAACGATGTAGTAACAATTTTTCTACACAAGAATGGAGAAAACTATAGACCAATCAGCCTATTGAACCACATTTATACAATGTTTACCCGAATAATTACGACAAGACTAGAGAAAAAGTTAGAATTCTACCAGCCCCGAGGACAAGCTGGCTTCCGCTCAAAATTCGAAACAAATGATCACCTACAAACAGTAAAAACCTTAATAGAAAAGTCGCTAGAATATAACAGACCACTGGTGCCTATCTTTGTAGACTTTCACAAAGCCTTCGACACTGTGGAATTAGACAGCATTATAACTGCTCTGAACAATAGTAGAATAAATTGCAACTATATGATACCACCAGAGCAATTCATACCAAGCGAGGTGTGAGACAGGGCGACACTGTCTCACCTAAATTATTTATAGCGGTCCTTGAATACGTCCTTAAAATGCTAAAGTGGGAAAACAGAGGAATAAAAATAGATGCAGAAATGCTCAATCATCTGCGTTTTTCCGACGACATAGTACTTATTATCGAAGATCTGGTTGAAGCGCAACAAATGCTACAAGAATTAAAAAACGTATCTTCAACAATAGATGTAAAAATCAACATCAGTAAGACCAAATTTATGACAAATTTAGTTCCCAGCGAACACCTAATCATCCAAAATCAAGTGGTAGAATTGACAGAAAAGTACATATATCTTGGTCATGAAATCAAAATAGGCAAGGACAAACCAGACCTGTTGATCTTAAGAGACATCTTTAAGACTTAAGGAAAAGAACAGGTATCAGTGATGTCGTCGAACGTACAGCCAAGCTGAAATGCAATTGGGCAGGTCACATAGCGAGACTGAAAGACACAAGATGGACCAGAAAACTAATTGACTGGCTCCCACGACAAGAAAAATGCAGCAGAGGACGACCACCAAAACGCTGGATGGACGACATTAGACGAATATCCAAGAAATGGCAACAAGAAGCACAGAATCGTGAAGAGAGATAAAAATGGGAGAGACCTATGTCCAACAGTGAACAGAAGAGGTTGCATGATGAATATAGTTCTATCCTGAGGTGCACGTGTTCTCCACCATGTCTTCCTCAGTCTTCGATTTTCTGTGATTTGCTTTTGCATGAACTTCACTAGATACTATGTTTACATAATGTTTATTTATTATTGCATTTGTCGGTGTTGATAACGAGATTAATATAACCATGGTAGAAATTTACTACATTAAAATAATAATTTCCGGTTTTACTGATTCCATTGGCTGCAGCCAATTTTTTGTTCCGTATTCTATCATTTTTGCTTAGTACTTTTTTATTTTAGTGAAATTGTATTCTTCCTTTTTCTTAACTTCTAATTTCTTCGCTGTAGTTTGGCTTATCGAGATACTAATTTTTGTACCTATTCAACGTACAATTTATATCAGGAAATAGTTGTGACTGGATGTGTTCCGCTCTAAATGTAATTGCCGCTTAGATATCGAGGTCGAATACCACTGTCTTTAAATTAACAAGTTGCTGTTGTTGATGTGAAGAACTTTGATTTTTGCCAGTATAATTAATGTGTTTAGATATTTCTCACCGACATTTTTTGTGTGTTCTATTTTTGTATTCATTTATTTTCATGCATTGACCTTTTATAGAAGCGATATAACTCAAACTAGATACAGTAGAAGTCGTGTAGTTTTATCGAATTTCGGTAGGAAAGTTTATTTCTAATTGAAACTGCAAATAAAATAATAAATTTATAAATTGCTGTAGACTGTATTGTTGTCATCATCAAGCAATTAGGTACAGGTTTATTAAAATTTGACAAAATACCCTTAACTTCTACTGTTAAATGTGGTATTGTATCTACAAGCATGATGATGATAATGAATGGCGCTACACATCTTCGTGAGTCTTTGCCGCGTTTACTATTGCCTTCCATGTTTGTCGGTCCTGTGTTAGTAATTCCCATTGTCACACTCCCATTTTTTCTAGATCTTTATATATATCTGACTAGATTTTCTTTTCCGAATAGAGACTCTAGCTCGTTATTGTATCTGCCCCTCCATTCGTTTGTCACGCTGTCTCTGTTAGGGCCATATATCATTCAAAGAATTTTACGGTCCCACACCAGCAATTTATTTACTTCTCTTTTTGTTAGCGTCTATGTTTCGCTTTCATACGAGACTGCTGGTCGTATTATGGTCTTATATATTTGGATTTTTGTACCTCGTGAAAGAAGTTTCAACGTCATTAGATGTTGCATTGCAAAGAAAGATCTGTTTCCTGCCATTATTTTCGTTTCAACTTCTCGCTCTAATTTATTGTCATTTGTGATTGTTGCTCCTAGATATTTAAATTCTTTAACCACTTCGAAGTTGTGATCATTTATAGTAATGTTTTGCCATATTCGCCGTCGTTCTTGTTTTGAGACGACCATGTGTTTCGTTTTGTCTTCATTTATTTTTAGACCGATGTTTAATGCAGCTTCTTCAAAGCTCAAGAAAATATCCTTAATATCTAATGTTGATTGTGTTGCTGCGTCTACGTCATCGGCAAAGGCGAGTATGATTCTTGCTCCCCGAGCAGTTATGTCTGGTTTGATTTTTGGATATATTTTTAAGGCCAGGTTAAACAACAATGGAGACAACGGATCTCCCTGTCTTAGTCCACAAGTTACGCAGAAAGCATTTGATGTTTTTCACCCAATTCTAACTTGTGCAAAAGAGTTACTTACACACATTTGTGTTACCACAGCCTATACAAATTTAGGCTACCACTGCAAGGAAACTTAATGTCATTTAGACAATATGTCACTTGATCCCTCTTTTATTGGCCTATGTAAAATTGTAACGTTAACATTTACTCTTGCTAAGAAGTTGAATCTTAGGGGGTAAAAATATTTACTGGTTGAACATCTTAACAGAGCAAAATTTTCAAATTGTATCATTTTTTATGAGCATCAAGTTTACCAAAAAAAAAAAAAACTAGAAATATTGTAAGTGAATTTACCTCAAATGCATCATTTAACGAATGCATCCTCATTCTTTCTCTCTCATTACTTTCCAGTCTTCGTAAATTTCTCTCTCTCGCACTTATACAAGTTTTCCGCCTACGTATCGTCGTCCCGCTTGATGCACTGCCACTGGATGCGCTACCTATAACAAAGATTTGTTCTAAAATATGTTTACGAAAAGTAAAAATATCTAATATACTAAGATATTTTATCATGGGTCAATCATTGGATACAGATCCTTAAATACCAGAAAAAAAAAGTTGAAATCCGTATGCTCTCATGTAATATCAGATAAAAATTGATGTAATGCTTCAAAGTATAACGAAAAAACTTAAAATACTTTATGTAGAGCACCTTTATCCAGAACAGAAATATATTAATAGCAAAAGACTATATAGATAGACTACACAAAAGAATAAAAATATATATATTTATCAAAAACAAAAACAGGGAACTGCAATGACATGGTAGCAAGGTAACATGTCTACTTGTCAATTGTCATGCTATGATAGTGACCCTTTGAGTAAACCATGAGAAGCGATTTTAAAAAACCAACATAAATATACAATCATGAATTGTTTGCAAATGCCTTAATTTTCAAATATAATTATTATTATGTTATTACTATTAATTATGATTAGATTTAAAATATAACATTAGATAAAACCATTAGAGAGAGAAATATTCAAGAAAGAAAAGCAATAGCACTATTGAACGGAGTATCATGGGATAAAAATATAATCAAAGAAAAACAAAATCAGTACAAGTAACACCAATGAAAAAAACATACACAATCATCTCAAAAGTGTTGAGATTTCTACAACCCACAGATATGGACTTCTGAAGAAGACCAGCAGACAAGTCAAGAATCGAGGATTTCGCATATACAATAATAATAGAGATCATAAGAGTAAGACACACAAAGGAATAAAAGACAAACAATTAATCTGGTTTGACCATGTACCAAGAATACCTGATACAAGACTTCTCAAACAACTTATAGAATGGGATTCAGGTTAAAGAAGAAAACTGGAATGATAGAGATGGCTGGAGATCAGAAATCGGAAGACTCAGAACGTTTTACACAAGCGTTGAAAAACCGATGAATTCAATAGATTAAAAATAACTTCACCATAATCAAAATAACAAAATTTTAAACCAAAAGCTGCATAAGAAAGCCCTAAAATTAATCTTTCCGTCACTAGAGGAAAAACCGAATACCTTTTATTCGATTATTCGATATACAGGCAAGATAGAAGCAAGAAAAATAGCCAACATACATAAAAAAAGAAAGGAATATAACATCAGCTATCGAAACAAACAACAAATTAAGCAAATATATTAATAACAACAAGAACAAAGAGAAAAGCACTTATACAGTGGTATATACGAACTTAGAGTAGTGACTGCCCAAAAATTTACATCGGTCAAACTGATAGAACTTTTAACAAATGTATAGCAGAACACAAAAGTACTTTCAATGATAGAAAAACATATTCTACGTACGCATGTCACCTTTCAGACCATAATCATTTTCTTAATGACTAATTTCAAATCCTTTACATTCAAAATAAAGGCTTGAAGCTATCTTTATTAGTAGCATAGAAATTGATAAATTAAAAAATACAAATATAATTCTGAATGATCAATTTGAGGCAAACTTATTCGCTCTAATTTCCTCAACTTAGTTAATTAACGACTATAAAGTGTAGAAGCATAGTCAAAATCACCTTTAAAAGGCACTCTGCCGAAAGAGTTGTAATGAAATAAATTGTAATATATTTTGTGAACTTGTGGAAAACAAAAGTGTTCCAGTTTTTTATTCTTAGAAGATTATTCTTTTCCATGATGTTCCATAACATCATGGAAAGCTTCAATATTCCCTCGAAATATATCCGACTAGTAAAAGCAACGATGGACTCCACAATAGCAACTGTACGCATACAGTACGAATTAACTGACAGCTTCGAAATAGTTCAAGGGCTGAAACAAGGTGATGGACTAGCTCCAACACTGTTCAATCTGGCCCTTGAATATGTCATCAGAAAGCTGAATGTCGGAAGAGCCAATCTCCTAACAAACAAATCTGTCCAGCTCGCCGCATATGCGGATGACATTAACCTCATGTCCCGCAGAGTGGATGATGCAGCAGTAACATATTCGCAGCTGAAAAAAATGGCCAAGGAGATTGGACTTGAAATAAATACACAGAAGACAAAAATACTAACACAGACACGGACAAAGCGAACAAGAAATCAAATCAAAGTAGAGGATGACATTGAAACAGTGAAGAGTTTTACTTATCTGGGAGTCGAAATGAATACGGAGGGAACAGAAGAGGCCGAAATTCAGAAGAGAATAATGAAGGGAAATAAAGCCTATTTTTCCCTGATTAACTTATTCCGCTCCAAGACGGTACATCGAAAATCGAAACTTAAGGTCTATAAAACTATCATCAGACCAATAGTATGCTATGGATGCGAGACATGGGTTTTGACAGAAAGCACTAAACGAAGATTAGAGGTTTTCGAGAGAAAAATCCTAAGGAAGATCTTTGGACCCATCACTCAAAATGGGATGTGGAGATCTAAATATAACCATGAACTCTACCAACTGTTCAAAGAAGCACCTATTGCAGAGTTCGCTAGAGTACAAAGGCTTCGATGGGCTGGTCATGTGGTACGGATGGATGCCAGATTGCCGAAAAAGGCCTTGGATGGTAAAATGCAGGGCAGAAGACCAAAGGGAAGACCACGTAATAGATGGGAGAACGAAGTCACAGCACATGCGCACAACTTATTGAACGTCAGGGCTTGGAGACAAGTGGCGCGGGATCGCCTTTGTTGGAGGCAGAAGTTACAGGAGGCCAAGGCTCAATTTGGGCTGTAGCGCCATTGGAAGAAGAAGATTATTCTATAAACTTCAATGGATATTTAACGAACAATATGGAATATAAAATCCACAAGGAAAACAATTCCTGTAGCTGGCTGTATACCACGTATCACAAAAAAGAGGTTAGTCTTCGTATGGAATATATTCTTACCGCCATGTTTCCTCCTCTTTTTGCCTGTCGCCTCGTCGCTGCTTGATTCTGTAAGATCGTCTCTTCCGTCATTTGAGTGCTTTCTGATTTCCATGTCTTCTACTTCTACGTCTTCGTCTTCTTCATTCCATGATGCAGTCATTTCCAAAGATCGCATTGTTTTGTACACTCACTGGAACAAAAGAAAGGTTGATAAAGAACAATTTTTGAGTAGAACATTTGATTTTAGTAAATAATAAAAAGTTTATTTTAAACAATTTAATTCAGGAGTATTGTGGTACATGCCCAAAAGTATACATAACTCAGATAGGAAGTTTTTAAAACGGATATTGAGAGATATATTACTAGGATTAAAGGAAAATTAGAAAATTAGGTCTTGACTTTTATTATAGGGTTTAGGCATTAGTTCTTAGAAAATATAATAATGCTAAAAATTCAAGCACGGAATTGCAATATTAATATGATCCAAGTCTATGCTCCCATAGCTGATAAGACCGAAGATGAGATCGAAAAGTTTTATTCAGAATTGCACAATACAATCAAGTTAACAAAATCTAGAGATATTAATTGATCGATTCGACCGTTACTTGATGGAAATTCATTTTATGTAACAATAAAACACTGAAAACTTTGTTTTCAAACTTCCACAAAAATTTATTTTAACTCTTATCACTACAGCTGTTTCGGCTGATTGTCGTTCTCAAGTGATCTCAGGTGATTCTCAAGTGAGTAAACGCATGCCAAAAATAGATCACTTGAGAAAATCAATCAGCCGAAACAGCTGTAGTGATAAGAGTTAAAATAAATTTTTGTGGAAGCTTGAAAACAAAGTTTTCAGTGTTTTATTGTTACTAGAGATATTACTTAGATTTTAGGAGACTTTAATCCAAAAAATTGAAGTAGGTACGGTTGAAAATATAATTGGACAGTTCGGATTAGGAACTAGAAACGAGAGAGGAGAAAGGCTCAAAGAATTCTGCCAAGAAAAGAAAATGGTAATTGCCAATACTTGGTTTCAGCTTCCTAAGAGAAGACTATATAATGAACTTCTCCTTCACAGACAGAAAACCACATTGTCAGAAACTAGATAGACTTTGGGGTGTATTCTGTAACCATTCCGTTAAATTTTAGAGGCCTCTAAAATTTTAGCGTCCGCTAAAATTATTTTTGTATTCTGTAACTTATGCATCCGTTAAAATCATAACCTAAACCGTTAAAACTCCCGCTAAAACAGAATATTTTTGAGGATGTCAAAACTTTTCCTCTTATTTTTAGCGCCCGTTAATCATTTGATTATTTTTGTTTGGTTAGGTTTATATGATTATTAGTTTGTTATTTATATATTACACTGCAGATAAACAATTAAAAAAGACAAATAGCTTTTTATAATATATTTGGTGAAGCTTTTAGTTGATGAAATCATAAATAATAATGAAAGGTAACTCTCAGTTTACTTTATAATCCGTGTGTTACATCTATAACAAAATTAAAATTTTTTATTCTTTTTGTAGAGCTGAATTCAGATTACATCAAGAGATAATCCGATATAATATGATTATTCTTTTCCCATAATACATGGACTTTTCCCAATTCAGTTAGGATTAATTTTATTCCTGTTAGAATTTTATTTTCTTTTAAAAAAACTTATCAAAAACTCTTTTTGAGATTCTGTTGTTCGTGGAGCACGAGACATAAAATTTTATTAAAACGAAAATAAAATCAACTCGAACACAAATAAACTGAAATATATTTTCAATAATAATAAAATAACAAGTCAAGCAGACTGTCAATTTCGTCTTCTTTCTTAAGTTTTTGGCCTCCAACTTTTAGTTTTTGGTAAATTTTTACCTTATAAGTAGTTTAACACCATTAACGTGCGACGTTGCCGTATCTGATCGAAAACTTTTTAGAGGATCCCTCTAAAAAAATATATTTTAGCGGTCCTCTATAATATTTCTTTATAGAATGTCAATGTTACCTAAAACTTTAAGAGGACCGTTATAAGTTAAATTTTAGAGGCCTCTTAAATTTAACGGAAATGTTACAGAATACACCTCTTTATACTCTTAAATAGTATTTAAATTCTTTGGTCCATCATCTGCAGAATATCATCAGTTATCCATTCTTTATTTTATTTTTTACTTTTGTTTTTTTTTTCAGATGTTATTTTCTCGCATTTTGCATGACGTCTTTGATATAACTCCATTTTTGTTCTACACTCTGTTCTTGTTGTTTAGCGGTTTCTAGTTTTGCTCTCATTACATCTCTTATGTTCTAACGAACTACGGGGTCTTGTAGAGTGTCATAATTTATGAGTTTCTTTAGTTTGAGTTCTATCTGGCCCACTAATGGGTTGTGGTCTGATGAGACGTATGATCCTGGGGTCTTCACCGAAGACAAGCTGTTCTTGAATCTTTTGTTAATGAGAATAAAGTCTATTCTACTATTCTATTCTGCTTTTGCCAAATTTGGCATTGAAATTACCCTTGATTACCTCGTTTTTCTTGGTATATTTTAGTGCTTTTTGTACAAGTGCGTAGAATTCCTCGATAATCTCTTCTGGCTTTCCTGATATTGGAGCGTAAATTTGAATGATGTTCGTATTAACGGGTCTGCTTTGCAGCTTCATCAGAATGACTCTATCAGAGTGAGGTAGCACGCTGATCACAGCTTCAGCGACCTTTTTGCTCAGAATCACCGCTACGCCGTTCCAGTGATGTGGTTTATCCTTTTCCGCATAATATACTATATGATCATCCACACAGCACTGCACTGAGCCTGGCCATCTCATCTCGCTGATTCCCATCACGTCGATATTTAGATGTCTTTTCATTTCTTGAATGTTGTGTTGTTCAAACATACTTTGAACATTCCAAGTACAGATTTTTTGAACGTTCCACGTGCACACTTTTTCTCTATTAGTGTTTAAATATTGGTAAGGACTTCGTGGGTTGACGACCTGGGAAGCCTTACATTTTGTTGTTCTTCCTCCCCTGCCGGATTCTTCAGACATAAAAATATTCATAAATCTACCTGAATGCAAGAAACATGAAAGCTGAAATCGATAATAAAATACAAAATAATCAAGCAAGATACCACAATAAAGATCAAAGATGTGCGAGTCAGAAGAGGAGCAGAATGTGGAACGGACCATAAACTAATGACAGCAAAAGTGGGAATTAATTGGAAACATAACAAGATCCCCTCTACAGAAGAACAGAAGATAAAGTAATTCACATAATTAATTCCAGACAATAAAAAAGATCTACTACTTCTTCTTCTGGTTGCATGACCGTTATAGATCGTTGGATATCATGTAGGCTACCATATTCGATATAGTGACTTTATTAACAGCAGCTCTAAATAGCTATGTAGTTGATTTTTCATAATATTGCCATAGATTTTTCAGCCATGATGTTCTTCGTCTACCAGGACCACGATTACCTTGGATCTTTCCCTGAATGATCAGATGTAAAAGATCATATTTTTTAGGGTGTCTCATAATGTGACCAAATTATTTCAGCTTGCGTTTCTAACTCTGTCGACCCAGCTTATTTTTAGTAGTCATCTGTATACCCACATCTCAAAGGCTATCAAGCGTTTAAGGATAGCCTCAGTTAGAGTCCACGCTTCCACTCCATACAGCAGGACAGAAAAGATGTAGCAATATGTCATTCGAACTCTAAGGTCAATGTTAAGATCGTGACTGCAAAGTACGTTTCTCATTTTTACAAAGGCAGCTTGGGGGTGTTCTATTCGGCTTTTAATTTCTGCAGTTGGATCCCAGCTCTCATTGATATTACTGCCGAGATAAACGAGTTTCTCTACTCTGTCCACTGTGACATCTCCGACTTTTATACCGTCATCCTGTATATAATTTTGTTTGCTAACTATCATATATTTAGTTTTCATAACGTTGAGTTTTAATCCATACTGATCACAAGTCTGTTTTATTTTGTTCATTGAAGGTCTTCTCCGCAATTAGCAAGCACTCAGGTATCGTCATCATATCTAATATTGTTGACGGTTATTCCATTTACAATAATACCTTCGGTTGTCTCCATTAAGGTTTCCCTAAATAATTCCTCCGAATATAAGTTCAAAAGTAAAGGCGACAATATACAGCCTTGTCTCACTCCTCTTTTTATATTTATTTCATCCGATAGTTCTTGTTCAGCCTTTATTCTTGCCACTTGATGCCAGTATAGATTTGTAATTATTCGTAGATATTTATCGTCCAATTCAGCTGTTTTCAATATTTCTAGCATTTTGTTATGTCGGACTTTGTCAAAAGCCTTTTCAAAATCGATTGCACAAATGTACACATTTTGATTTATATCTCTGCATCTCTGTACTAGCAACTGTATACTAAACAAGGCTTCTCTTATACCCAAGCCATTTCTAAACGTGACACGTGACGTGACTAAAGATCTTCAAAACGTGACTCATCAGACTTATTGTCCGATAATCACCGCATGTCTTTGGACGATGTTTCTTAGGTATTGTGACAAATGTCGACTTTAACCAATAAATTGGTAATATCCCAGTGTCATAAATTCTGTTAAAGAGATTACACAGAGCTTTAATTCCATTTTCTCTCAAAAACTTTAGTATTTCAGCACTTACTTCATCGGGGCCAAGTGCTTTTCCATTTTTTGCCGTTCGTATTGAACGTGTAACCTCACTTTCTGTTATAGATGGACCTGATATAGCAATCGGTGTATAGTGTTCTACTTTCTCATCTTCAAATAATTCAGAAATGTAGTTTTCCCATTCTTTAAACTGTTCATTGATGTCTAATATTCTGTGTCCGTTTCTGTCTTCTAAACTGTGGGATACTTGTTTCCGTTTGTTTCCAGTGACCTCCTTTAATTTCTTGTGCAGATGTATCGTGTTTCTTTTCATATTGTTCAATTTAATTACAGTCTTTACTATGAAATTGTGAGGTCGCGTGTCTTATCTTCTGCCTGATTATTGCGTGGATCCACTTGTATTCGTTTTTATCTTTATTTGTGACTTCTCTTCTTTGATCCATAAGTCTCAGTATTTCTTCTGTCATCCACCCTTGTTTTTTTCTTGCTTTTAACGCATTAAATTTTGTTTCTTGAACAGTCTTTAAAAGTCTTTAATTCTTGTTCAGTTTTCCTCAGTACTTTCCTCTTTGCTTGATGT